AGCCAATGGGTGTCATACAGCTCCTTTGATGCTTCTTTAGAGTTAGCACCCGGCAGGATGTAAACAATGGTGACAAACACCACAGTAAACTCTTGTGGCAGATAGTATGGCTGACATTTCACAGTAATAAGTTCTATCGCCTCAGAGCAATAGCTTTTTACCAGTCCACAGTTCATACACCAATCTTCATTCATGAACATACAGATTCCTCCCCCACATGTTTTTCTTGATCGATCATCACAGTCTGCTCAGAATAACTGAAGACCGTTGATCTGGAAGGCTGAGTCCGGCATGTTGTTGTTAAGCCAGGTTTCCATAGGCAAAGAACAGCACAGTTCTTCATCTCTGTAGAAACACTCATCCTCAAATGTAACAAGTTCACTTTGTTATCCAGTGAACGGACATTGGCCAGAAAGACAGTAGGAATCTGTGGCCTTCTAGCCTTTAGCTGGGCCAACGCTCCCGCCCACTTCCCCCTCTTCTGTTTCTGGGCACATCGTTTTCTCTAGACTGTTGCTCCTCGCACTCTGCCGTGCCATTCCATTGTCCTCAGGAGCTGCTGTCTGCCGATTGTGGATTTCAGCCTCGATGAAATATTAAAAACCGAACTGTCTCCGATGGCCATCAGTTCGGTTGAGCTGTACTTGAGCCGTGAACTTAGCACTGAACTAGTGCCTAAAACAGCATCATAGGAATTCAAATAAGGCTTAATCCCAGGAGCATGAGAAGCCACTTCACCTCTGTGTGCCGCCACAGCAACCAAATTTGAAGGTGAAATTAGAGTAAGGTGTTTTCAATCAGTGGGATGATGATCAGGTGTGAAGCACACAGTTTGATTTAAAGAACAGGGATCTATCAGAGTCTGTTCCTCACCTGTTTGTGGAAATATATCATGGCAGGAACAAAGGAAATTTCTGAGAACCTCAGAAAAAGAGTTGTTGATGCTCATCAGGCTGGAAAAGGTTACAAAACCATCTCTAGAGTTTGGACTCCACCAATCCACACAGACAGATTGTGTACAAATGGAAGAAATTCAAGACCATTGTTACCCTCCCCAGGAGTGGTGGACCAACAAAGATGGTTTATTATTTTTTTATAATAAACTTGTTTAATAAACAAGAGCAAGGCGTGGAATAGTCGGCGAGGTCACAAAGGACCCCAGGGTAACTTCTAGGGGTGCGTATCTCTCAGTGTCTGACGATCCGATTCGATTCAGATTTTTGGTGTCACAATACGATTTTAAAACGATTTTCGATTCAGAAACGATTTTTCTATTGAAATGATCATACATTTTGTTTCAATTATGTAGCTGACAAGCTGAAAAGATTAAACAACAATGTAAACCAATAGACCATTTATTTAAAAATCATTTTAGGTTCCTTACTGTATCAAATATTTTTTATTCATTTTATATTCAGAGTCAGAGTCAGAGTTTCTTTATTGTCATTCGCACCTCATGTGGTACATGTGGTGGAGCGAAATTATGTACACAGGGTCCCAGTTACATCCAACAATAAAATGTATAAGAAAAACAGTAATAACATCTAAGATATGAACTAAGAAGAACATCAACTAAATATACACTAAGCACTCATAACATAAAACATTGAACATCAGCACAAACATGAACATGAGTCTGTGAGCAGATGTGCACGCATGAACACATCAACATTGAAACAGATCAGCAGCAACATGAAACAGATCAGCAGCAACATGATATGGTTTTTCACAGTGATTATTCTGGTTAGAGATTTATACCAAAAATAGGAAAAATATAGGAGTGTATAAAATTCTGTAACTTAAACTACCATTATTAGGTTAATTTAGTTGCCTGAATTTTTCTAACAAAATCCAAATCTACGAAAAAATAATTCTTCCATCCATCATCTTTATCCACTTCTTCCTTTTTGAGTCACTGGTATCACTGGTGCCCATATCAGCAATCACTGTGTGAGAGGTGGGGACACCTGGACAGGTCTCCAGTCCATCACAGACAAATAATTCAAAATATATAAATACAAAAGTAAACAGACTTCAGCCTACCATAGTATATTAAACTTTAACTCAACATGAAATACAGACTTCAGTTATTTTTAATCATATTGTTTTAGCATTTGTTATATTTTCAAAACTTAACCTAATATGAAATATACAGACTTCAGTCTTAACCATATTGATTCATATTTAGTAAATCTTTAACAAAATTTCAAAACCTGTGGAAACATGCACAAAATCATCTTCTGAACTATAATTTATAAACCATAAATTGTATAATTTAGAACTGGATCCAGGAGATGTGTCTCATCTCTTCAACCTGTTAAAAAGACAAATTACATTAAGTTTGTTGTACAACTTGTCTATAAGTTTTAGTATAAAATGAGAAATAACTGTTTCCTTTGAGCTGCAGCTGCATCAGAGCTGCTCCCATTCGTTGTTTCATGGTGAAGTTGTGTTGCTGCTTTATCGCAAAATAAATAAATCTACATGAAGGAATAACGTACGTTGAATACATCGTATTAAAATAAACCTGAACCTCTCACCTTCCACTGAGCTGTCTGCTCATAAATCCTTTGTGATGCAGCAGGAGATGGAGGGAACTCTTCACAGCCTTTGGAGAAGACTGGAAGTTTGTTGTAGAGTTCACTGGTCGGCTGCTTCACTTTCATCTTCCGTGAATTTTGTCATATTTCCAAAATACTGTACCGCAATTTTATTTTACGCTTCTTGAAAAAAACTGTGCTCTTGTGAAGCTCTGTCTTCCCCCGGAGCAATGTGGGATCTGAAATGATTTTTAAAGACGAAGCAGTGGGTAGAATCACGCTGTCCTCCATGCTAGCAGGCTCCATTCAGATAAAGGGAGCTGGATAACTAGCTGCTGTACGGTGGCCTACACGGCTCAATTCTACAGTGGCTGAACGGGGAGTAGAAGCGGAAAAAATATAAAACTTAAAGGCATTTTAAAATTGATTTATGGACCTTTAGAAACGATTCAGAATCACCAGGACTAATAATCTAGATTCATCGAAAAAACAATTTTTTTCTGCACCGCTAGTAACTTCTAAACAACTAAAGGCCTCTCCCACATTGGCTAATGTTGATGTTCATGAGTCCACCATCAGAACACTGAACAACAATGGTGTGCATGGCAGGGTTGAAGGAGAAAGACACTGCTCTCCAAAAAGAACATTGATGCTCGTCTGCAGTTTAATAAATATCATGTGGACAAACCAGAAGACTGGTGGAAGAATGTTTTGTGGACAGATGAGACCAAAATAGAATGTTTTGGTTTAAATGGAAAAGTGTTATGTTTGGAGAAAGAAAACCATTGCATTGCTGCATAAGAACCTTATCCCATCTGTTAAACACTGTGGTGGTAGTATCATGGTTTGGGCCTGTTTTGCTTCATCTGGACCAGGACGGATTGCTATCACTGATGGAACAATGAATTCTGAATTATATCAGAGAATTCTAAAGGACAATGTCAGAACATCTGTCCATGAACAAGAGAAGGTGGGTCCTGCAGCAAGACAATGACACAAAGCACACAAGTGGTTCTACCAAAGAATGGCTCAAGAAGAATAAAGTTCATGTTTTGGAATGGCCAAGTCAAAGTCCTGACCTTAATCCAATCCAGATGTTGTGGAAGGACCTGAAACGGCAGTTCATGTGAGGAAACCACCAACATCCAGAGATGAAGCTGTTCTGTACTGAGGAATGGACTCAAAGTCCTACAAGCTGGTGTGCAGGATTGATCAACAGTTACCAGAAACGTTTAGTTGCAGTTATTGCTGCACAGGAGGGGGGGGTCACACCAGATACTGAAAGCCAAGGTTCACATACTTTTACCACTCACAAATATGTAATATTGGATCATTTTCATCAATAAATAAATGACCAAGTATAATATTTTTATCTCATTTGTTTAACTGGGTTCTCTATGTACTTTAAGGACTTGTGTGATGAAGTTTTAGGTCATATTTATGCAGAAATATTGAAAACTATAAAGAATTCACAAACTTTCAAGCACCATTGTAGAGTTGTAATTCCATAAATTGTCCTAATATTGGGCTTTTTGTTCATTTCCCTAAAAAAGTCTGAATAAAAGTCTTTAATTTGAAGGGGTTAGGGATGGATAAAAACAAATGGATAAATAATGGATTTACGTGCAACAAGCTTTCTTAAATGGTAAATGGACTGCACTTATAGAGCGCTTTTCTATCTTATCAAGATACTCAACATTTTCTTAAGTTTAAAGCCACTGCCTCTTATTATTTTTAAAATGTTTTGGTTTCTTGTTGCTGTGTAATTTTCTGAAAACAAAAAAACATTTTCTCTGAGTTTTCTCCACAGGGTGTCTGAGCTCTCCCTTGAGAGATAAGGTGAAAAGCTCGATCATCCAGGAGGCATTCGCCGAGAAAGCCACTGCTTCTCCACATCAAGAGGAGCCAGTTGAGGTGGCTCGGGCATCTGGTTAGGACGCCTTCTGGACGCCTCCCTGGTGAGGTGTTCCAGACACGTCCCACCGGGAGGAGACCCAGAGGAAGACCCAGGACACGCTGGAGGGACTATGTTTCTCAGCTGGTCTGGGAACGCCTCGGGATTCCCCCGGAGGAGCTGGACCAAGTGGCTGGGGAGAGGGAAGTCTGGGCCTCCCTACTTAAGCTGCTACCCCCGCGATCCAACCCCAGATAAGAGTAAGAAAATGGATGGACGGATGGACGGATGGACGGACGGACGGACGGACGGATGGATGAATAAATGAAATTTTTTTTTATAAATGCCTCCTACATCTTAATGTTACAGACCCTGGTTTATGACAGGCCGACGTTATTCTGGGGGACAAGATTTTAAGTTTTATTTATTTTTCCCATTAATTAAAAATTTATTTAAACTCCAAATTGATCCAACAAGAAAAATTGTTTGTTTTAATGTTGATCAGGTTCTACTAATTAAATGCTTGGGATTCAAGAGGATTCAACTGGACATTCTGGTCAGCTTACCCTGTGATTTCCTCATTTCCTTAGAAGATAAAGCACGAATTCCATGCTGAAAAGAAGTCAAATCCGTTGTCACGTCATTGGGCCTCAACTCTTCCCCCAGCGACTTCCAAACAAATGTATCACTGACACCTTGATCAGCGTCATATCCACCTGAAAAACACAAACATGGGGTTTAATCTAAATTAGTCGGATAACAAAGACCCGGACACTGAACCTACAGGCTTGTCTTAAGGAATCATGAATGACTGGAATATTTATTACTCTTGAATTCAGGCAAAGCTGACAAAATATAGTTAAATTAAAAAAAAATCAGGAAAAATATCTGTGCTAAGAAAAATGACCCAAGGACCCGGGAAGGAGAGAAAAAAACATTGTTACTCTTTCGTTGCTTTAAATGACTTCTTGTGGCTTTAAGCGTGAAACATAAACTCGCCCAAATATTTTAAAGTCAAACGAGACGATGGGTTTAGGCATAAAATAAAAATACTTACAAGGGCTTTGCCCTTTGTTTAAGATGAACTTAGTTGTTAAATATATTAAAATGAGCCAAACACAGGTTTTTGAGAGCCAGATCACTGCACCACAGAGTTTTTGTCAACAGTGGAAATGATCAACTCTGACATAGAGCTGGGCAATATAGACCAAAAATAATAAAAATGTTAAAAAAATTATTGAATGGCAATATATGATGTATATCTTTTTTTTTCTTCCTATTTCAAAATCAGCAGACTTAATATTCACTCACTGATGATGACATTAGCCCAGTTGTCAGAAGTTAAAGCAAACAGTCCCGTGGGGTTGTGCAGGCCAGGCTTCAGCTGACACCACGTCTTTAGTGACAAGGTGAGTCTCTGCTTTAGTAATGTCACACCACTTCATGGCACAACACCATATGTTTTCTAACAGTTTGTTTCAGGGCAGGAGGCTGTGAATGCTTCACCGTCTGCGCTTCAGTATGCAGTTATAAACACTGCAAACTCAACTTTATGGCACTGTTAAGTGATGGGAAACATGTACCGTAATTTCCCATCTATAAGCTACTACTTTTTTCACACGCTTTGAACCCCGCGGCTTACACTACGTTGCAGCTAATATATGTATTTTTTTTATTTTATATTTTTGTCCGACGGGCTAACGAGCTTCATTCTGCCAAAAATATTTAGCGTCGTCACACCTGGGCGCTCACATAGCTATCCAATACACACCCTTCTTGGGGGTGGGACCTTGTGACTCACACAGGCAGAGTGAACACCACAGGACTAGGGCTGGGTACCTTTCTACAACAAAAACAAAAAACAAAACAAAAAACAAAAAAATGTAGAAACGTTTCGTCTCTCATCTGAAAGACTTCCTCAGTCTGAGGTGCTGTATTCAGCTCAGTCTCTTAAATAGCACCTTCTCAGAGTGGATCAACCAGTTTTGCTGCTGACAACCAAAACCAGCTGATCACATGCTCAAGAAGGACCATCATCCTAACAATGGATCATTAGCACCTGATGGCTGTTTACTATTCACAGAGGGCTGAGTGATACTAGCAATCACAGCATTGTAAGAGGGGGACAGTTGAACACGGAGGCATCCACCCCTGTTTAATGATGGACGATTTCTTTTCACAAAGATGGCCTCCTTTACTCCTCTCTCAAACCATCGTTCCTCTCTGTCCAGGATGTGAACATCTTCATCCTTGAAAGAGTGACCTCTGGCCTGGAGATGAGTGTAGACCGCAGAGTCCTGGCCTGATGATGTTGATCTTCTGTGCCGGGCCATCCTTTTGGCCGGTGGCTGTTTAGTTTCCCCTAAACCCTAAACCTAACCATTACCCAGTGTTTCCCCTACCATTATATATGCGGGGCGCCCCACATTCAACAGAACCGAGCGCCCCGTCTCCACCCCCCCACCCCCAACCACCTGTCGACACTGACGTAACACTAAACTAGCGGATCGCTATGCAGGTGTGCTAGCTAAACAGCTAAAGGCAGCCTCTTCCATCATGCTGAACCCTCACGCTGAACGCACCCCCGCCACTCGAAAACTGTCGGTACAAACGGCGCACGGCTCAGATGTGTGTCTATCTCTCAGACACCCCCCACCCCAAAAAAAACTGTCGGTTCAGACAACATGCGGCTGAGATGTGTGTCTGTCTCTCTCCTCTCACACACCCTGCTCTAAAACTGTAAAACTGTCGGTGCAAACAGTGCGCGGCTGTCTCTGTGTCCCCCACCCTTCATCTAAAACTGTTGGTTTAAACAGCGCACTATGCAGCTTAGGACATGTCACGTCCATCAACACCCCCCCCCCCCCCCCCGACAAAAATCACGGACGAGATGAGCGCCCCACCATGGCAAGTTATCCAGGGGAAACACTGATTACCAGTGAAGCCTAATGAATTAATGATGAAGCCTTCCGGACCAAAGGCGAAACATTTCAGCACAAAAAAAGAAACTGTCCAGATGACCTGACTGAAAAATGTTGGACTGATTACCAGTATATAGCTAACCCTAAACCTGGCAGCACAACAGCTCAGTGGTTAGAACTGTTGCTTCACAGCAAGAATGTCCTGGATTCAATCCCCGGTTGGACCTGGGGTCTTTCTGTGTGGAGTTTGCATGTTCTTCTCGTGCTTGCGTGGGTTTTCTTTGGGTACTCCGGTTTCCTCCCATAGATCAAAAACATGCATGTTAGTCTGCCTTCAGGTCCAGGCCTCCCTTGCAAAAGAGATCTGTGATCTCAATGGGATTTGCCTGGTTAAATAAAGGTTAATAAATAATAAATTAATTAATTAATAATAACCATTACCATTACATACCTAACCCTAAACCTAACCCCTAACCCGCCTTTTGTCTTTGGTGAGGCTTTGGTCCTCACAATAAGCAGTTGGTCCTCACAATGTAGTATGTGTTCAAAAATAGTCCTCGCAAAATAAACCACACACACACACACACACTTTAGTCTAGTTACAAGATGCTTTCAGACCTCACCCTCCTTTTGATGCGAATCTGCAGCAGCGTAGGCATCACTCTGCACTGGTGACTGTTCAGGACACCCGGAGGGCGAAACGTCATACAATGGTCCTGACTCAAGTTCTCTGGACTGGACTTCGTCCTGACTGGATGGTACAGCGTCAACTCTGAATATATATGACAGGATAAACACAAAATCAGATAATTCATAAATTGTTTCACATTAAACTTCGTCCTGATGCATGCTCAATAATCCAGGTAGAAAAATCTAAAAAAGTTAAATCTGGTCCTCTGGACATTCAAAAAAACAAAACAAAGCAAATCAACAAAAAAAAAATAAAAAAAAATGTAGAAACGTTTCGTCTCTCATCCGAGAGACTT